AGCAGATGTGAAGATGAGAGGATGTGAAGATGAGAGGATGTGAAGATGAGAAGATGTTTTACAGACCCCCACTATTGGAAGAACCCTGCGCTCAGACGCTCTCGGGAAAAAATGGGGAGAAAAAAAAGGAAAACAATAGCCCTCCAATAAAATGCGACTGGGTGATTACAGAACTTAGCAAGCACAAACTAAACCCATGGTGAACACTGGAATGGATTTGGAATGGACCATCTGTAGTTCAGGGTCAACACAGCCGGGTATTTGGAAAATTCGCATGGTACAGCAAGTACACCCAAGCCCAGGCCACACCTAAACGCCATTCGCACATTGCTTGCTGAGAGGAAAGCTGAAGGGCTGAGATTTCCTCAGCATCTGAGCAACTGCCCGAGCCATCCATGGAACTGTCAGGTGTGTCCTGGAGCAACTACACAGCTACCCGTTGCAAAGCTCAACTTGAAGCCTTTTCGGCCCCAGGGCCCCCAAATCACTGGTTGATTTCCCAAGTAGGCTCTGATGGCTTCTTACCATAGGTTCACAGACTTAGGTCCAAAGCCAAAAATTAGGGGATTTCAGGGGCCCCCCCTTTTCGTGAGGAATCATCCGAAATTTCTTGGGCCAGGATGGACAAAGAATCTCTTTCGTCACTAAAGGATTGTGTTTCAGGTGTTTCAGTTGCCCCAAAAAACGTAAACTTGCTGCGGACAGACCCAGAAATTCTTGGACCTATCGACTTCATGATATCCTGAGAGTTTGACCTCATTCAGTCATTGTCAGTTGTTTTGCTTGGACCACAGAAAAACTGGAGTCCTGAGAGGACACCAGATGCATCTGCAGCACCAGCATGATCATTGCAAGAGCTGCCATTTTGGTTGCCATTGAATACGACGAGAATGCTGCCTGCTATGACCGCTGGTTCTGTTGCAGCGTCTGGATGTTCCAGGAGGAGTTCTTCACCCATTTTGCGCAATGACAAGTACTGACCAAGTGATTTTTATTAGTTTTTCTGCTGGGACCTGGAGATCTGTGTTTTCATGTTGTACCCCATGGTTGGCCAAACTCCAATTCAATCTGATGATTGACAGCTCCCGCCGATTCGATCCGAAACAGACTATGACTATTTTGTTGCCGCCAACTGAAGTGCAAACTGCAAATTTAAGGCAATGTTTTTTCAGCAACCACCTTGAACGTTTGGGATCCGCAGCATTCCACCCTGAAAAAAATATACACACTTCTGCACACTTGGAAAACCATGTTTTACATGATGTTTCAAACACCAGAGACGCCCATATGCTGCCGCACTTCAGCACCGCGCTTGCTATTTTTCACAGAGATCGAACAGTCGCTCTGAGTGGCCTGTGTGACCTTAGTATGCCAGCTCTGTACTGAAACCCGCGGGATGCGGAAGCTCTTTGGAGCAGTTGGGCACGCACAGCACAAAGCTTAATCTTGAACATCAAGTTGCGACACTTTTGTGTCCGATGCGCTTGGTTTGCACTTTTCTCAGGTTCATGCAGCTCGGGTTCTGTCTTGCAGGCTAAAATTTGCCAGCACAAGTGATTGCCTAGGCATGTCGGCATGTCCAGAACATCATTTCAATTGCGAGTTCAGAGACGTGACAGACGTGACATCTTGCAGTTTCTTCCCTTTCAAGTTTCGACTCCCCAATGGATGACCATGCTCTGTATATCAATGCTTCATCACCGATGCGCATCACCACCTAACTGGATATTCACATTCTCCATATCTATCATGGTTATATAATAATTATATGATATAGCGGTGTCCAAATTCTATTGGTTACAGTTCCGGGCGTCATGCCTTGGAACTTCCCAAAGCCATGAATCCAGAGATGCCAGGAATGGAGAACAACAATTTTGCCATTTTGCATCCCAATGTTCAAATGGTGTCGTTTCTTCATCGCCTCAGGGTCTGGCTGAAGCACCAGTACTGAGTCTTTTTCACGTGCCAACAGCACCTGGCGATCAACAAATTCAGTGGGTTCATTGAGTACAGTAACCGAAACCTATCCGCACGATTTCAACATCGCCAAAACATGGAAACCATGGAAACCTCATGTTCGATTGGTGTTCCAAAAGTCATGTAAGGACGACCAAACGCCGAACAACTTGGCCTTAATCGCGAAACATGGCAAGAAAAAAATGTTGACAGGTCACTCCACTCACTCGCCATGAACGCTGTTGGTTTCTCGATGGCGACGTGGACTTCAGGGATTGCAAACTTGCTGCGGGGCCTCAGTCAAGACTGAAACTGTATGACCTGAGAAGGGGGGACGAAAGCCAGCCCCTAGCCGGAATCTTTTTGGTTCTGCAAAGAAATGTCGCGGTAGCACCCGTTTTTGTCTGGCCTTCCTCCATTTTTGTTACTTCCAGCAACAAGAAGTCTTTTTAAAGCACATTATTTATATATATTTATATGACACACCTTGCCTGCATGTTCCATTTTTTTCACACTTGTCCTTCCTTTGCAACCCTTCGCCACTCCTTCCTCGGCATCATTCCTCATCCCCTTGCAAACTGTCTTGCTCCGAACCGCAACAGACGCTGCTGTCCGTTGAGTTTCAGATCCTTAGTTTTTTCCTTGCTTCTATGTCCTAGTTTTTTCAAAGTTTTGCCTTGCCTCCATTTCATGTTTTTTTTTCAAACCTTTTCCTGCGTTTTCCTCCGGTTTTCAAGAGTTCCCTTCCTGCAATTTCCTCACTTTCCCAACGGTTTCCTCAATTTTCCTTGGTTTTTCCAAGTTTGCCATTCATTTTTTCCTCCACTTTAATGGTTTTTGCAACATGTTCCTCCATTTTCCTCTATGTTTTGCAACCCTTTGCCACTCCTTCCTCGGTATCACTCCTCATCCCCTTGCAAACTGTCTTGCTCCGAACCCCAACGGACGCTGCTCTCTGTTGAGCTTCGGATCCTTGATTTTTTCAAAATGTTTGCCTCTATGTTCCTAATTTTTTCAAAGCTTTGCCTTGCCTCCATTTCATGCCTTTTTTTCAAACCTTTTCCTGCGTTTTCCTACGGTTTTCAAGAGTTCCCTTCCTGCAATTTCCTCACTTTCCCAACGGTTTCCTCGATTTCCTTGGTTTTCCAAGTTTGCCATTCATTTTTTCCTCCAGTTTCCTGTTTTTTTTCACAATTTTCCTCCATTTTCCTCCATGTTCACTAACGGTTTCCCTTAATTTTCCTTGGTTTTTTCCTACCTTTTTCCTTCCGTTTTCAGGGGACCTAAGGAGAATCGAACCCCGCCGTCGCTTGGAAACCTTCGAAAAGGAGAGGTTGTGCAGCTTCCCCCATAGACACGGCGAGGCCACAGGAAGACCAGAGACTCGAGACGAGACACGTCGGAGCAGCAAAACGAGCATTTCGTGCGAGACTTCCTCCAATTGTCACACTTTGTAGCTTCAAAATTGACGTTTTCCTACGAGTTTTCTTATGAACCTCTAAATTTGCTACCTCAAAATCGATGTTTCGTGCGAGGCTTCCATCAACTTTCATCACATCTCACAAAATGCCACGCCTGCCACAAAATTTGCACCTTGTCGCCACGCAGCCCTGCGATTCGCAAAAAACACGCGACACGACACGTCTCAAGTGCTGCGCCTGCCACGCAAAATGACGATGGACACGTCCAAAGTGCTGCGCGTACCAGGAAAACTGCAACTCATCTGGCGAAAACGTCGCAAAAGTATCGTGCCTGCCACACAAAACGACTTTCGACACGTTACAAAACACGTCTGAATGTCACGAAGTGCCACGCCTGCCACGCGAAACGAAGCAACGCGACGTTTGAAACCTCCAAAAACGACCCATTCTGCAAAACTTACCATAGGCACAGCCATATAGCAATCACGCGGACGGTTGCGAACGGTTGCGGACGGTTGCGGACGGTTCGGCAACGTCGAGCGAACACACCCTCAACCCCCAGACCCCCCAGAGTGAATCGGGAACCCTTGCTACGCATTCGGGAAAAAGGCCGATCAGGCCAAACCAGGCTGAATCAAACTAGGACCCTTGGCACACAACCCTTTGACACAACTCCAGCCATGTGAGCTGCAAGCCAAGGAACCATCGGTATATGGTTCACGCGGTCATCCAAACAAATGATGACATGTCCTGCGCACCCATGGATTTTGAACAACGTGGTGCCACAAAGAACCCATAGAAATATGAAGAAAGGCCATGTGGACAAGATATTTCCGCCAGCGTAAAGACAGCGTTCTGGCAAAAAACCTTCTGAGACTAGCAAAGTTTGGGATATGGTATGACTGCAGTTGCACGATGTTCAGGACAAACATTGTTCAAACCGAACTTCCCCTGTTTGTACTTCACCTCTAACCTTCTTCCATTAATAATCCCTTCCCCCTAGTATTAAATACAACCAGAAATACATGCATGCTTTTGAGGTGGTATTGAATATTAGGGGATTGGTCTACACTGGCACAGAAGGCAGCACACCCAAAGACGCTGTAGTTTTCAGTGTTTGTTGGTTCCAACAATCAACGTGTGCGCCGGTAGTGGGGATGGAGATGGGGTTCAGCAGACCATGATTCCCACCGAAACTTGGATGGGGTCACTAAAACCTTGCGAACGTGTTGGCCAAAAAACCTCGCAACAATGTTTCAAAACCATGCAGAACCGCAAATTTCCGCGCCTGGCAGGGTCACTGCAGAGTACCACGCTGAAAGGTTCTAACCTGATGTCACACAGGAACTCACGAAACTGACAGTGCCGTGTGTCCATGGGTTTGGGGACCCAACCCCGCTAAAAATGGAATTCATTGAGGCATCATGAAACACGACAGTCTGACAGCACCTGCAACTGATCGAAACACTGGTACTGGTGCGTCTTCATTTGATCAGAATTCAGAAGCCTCTGTTTTGGAAGTATTAAAATAGTTGACTCATCCTCAATAAAATTGGCAATAAAACTGTCCGCCGTTGCTCATCTTTAATTTGCAAGTCATCTCTACACAAGCTGCCAGCAATAATGACCACTGCCCACTCCATGAACGTCCGCAGCAACGCGCACCCTTTTTCATGCTTTCTACCCCTGAAGCATGCCCTCTTAAGCTAAAAGCTAAAACAGCCGTTTCTTGACGCTGTCGGCCCGCTCTGGGCCTTGCTTCTCCGTCTTCAAGGGCCGTTTGGCCGGAGTAAACATGAGGTCCAACTTTTTCTGATTGTTCCTGGGGAAGGCTGCAAATCGCAGAGGGGGAACCAACCTAAACAAAACCAGCTGCGGCAAAATGGGCCAACAATCACAGTCACAACAACCAGGTGGCAGTGCATGCTCTACAGACATTTGCTCTACAAACAAAAATCATACACGCCTGCCGTCCCATGTTTTCCAAACACGTCTTACAGCACACAAATTTACAACAGCAAACCCTCGTCCTTGGCGTCTGCAGCCGCACAACCTTTGTCTCGGCAGACATGCATTCCAGATAGCCATTGGCCAACAGCTGGTCCAACTCTTTTCGGACAGAAGCCTTGGCAGCAGGCGTCATGCCCTCAAGAGCTTCCCTTCTGCTCTTGCCATCAAACTTGGCAATCCTCTGCGCCATCTTTTCGCTGGCCTTGGGTGCTTTGGGGCCAGCCACCAAGATCGCCTCCCGGTTCGCTTCACTGGCCACCGCAGCCAACTGGTCATTGCCATGGCCTTCAGCGCCCATGTACCTGCCAAACATTGACAAAGTCTCCAAAATTGAAATTCACGCTGGTGGTTGGCAAATCATCCGCAAACATTGATGAATTGAAATCCAAAACTGCCATCAATCAATTCAGATTTTGGTCTCAACAATGCCCAGCATGATGATGCATACAAGGCACTGGTGGCGGAAAGCTTTCCGCTCGGATTTGCTGCCATTGAGGCTCGTGCCAGCCTTTCCATTCATGGTCGTGGGTCGCCAAAGGGCCGAGCAAGTTCTCTGTCCACCGAGCCGCGGGTGGTGTGTTACGCTGAAGAATCCTGAGGCAAGCGCAAATTAGACCCAAAGGCGGCACCAAGTAACCCCACATTCGTTCCAAAGCTCGATTGCAAGCCAAAATTTCCCACCACATTACGACAGTCTCACCATTTTCTTCTGTCATGTTTTGTTGTTTGGGAACTCCACCCTTCACTCCACCCTTCACTCCACCTGTCAAAGCAGACTGGCCCCTCAAACAACTGTACCTGAACCAGCTTGCCTTTGCTGCTGCCAAGTATCTTTGGCCCGACCTCAAAAGGATCTCGCCAACCAGCTCTGACAACTTTGGCCCCACTCCGAAACCTTGAAATTCCGGCATCACGACCAAACGGCTTTCCAACCACGTGATGCCACCGTTTCCTTGGCCAAAGAAAGCACCAACAGCATCCATGGCTACCAGGCGTTGGGAATCCTGCTCCCTGACCACCACCGCATGGAAGTTGCAAGGCACCTTCCCACTCATGTAGTGGTGTTCGGCAAAGAAGCGATGGAAGACTTCGGCAGCAGCGGAATGAGGCTTCAGCCGCCGCACTTGCAAACGAAGCTTTGGCAACTGGAAAAGGTCTGGGTCACTGTAAGCCGTATCATCCGGCATGGATGGCATTGCATTGCTGGCGCAAGGCTTTCGGACCACGCCGGACTTGGAATCCATATGCCAGTCCACCTGCAGCCACTGCGCAACATCGCCATGGACTGTGGCCACAACTACCTAAGTCGGAAGAAGGATGGACCATCACATAGCTCACATAGCTCCATCAGAATGAAACAACCAAAGTTCATCAGCAAAAAATCTAACAAACTCAAAACAATTCCAAAAAGAATAATGGAAAGCCAGTTGCAGGAGGCAGCTCATGCTTCAAGATGTAGTTGGACAGCCCGTCGCAGACCAGCTTCGCCAAGTTGCGGTCCAGCACAGAGGTGAACTCATCAAGGCACACGACATCCTTCGTTCCAACGGAGGCACCCAGGACTCGGGCTAAGTAGGCCAGGTGCTGCTCACCATCGGACAATGTCCTCGGCACCATGAAGAGGCCATTTAGGCTGACAGAAAACGAACAAGGCGCTGTTTTTCGGATCTCGGTAAACTAGTGTAAACCACCAACCAATTCTGGATATGAGAAAACATTTAAAAAAAAACATAAAAACATACGTGCCCTTCCCACCCTGCAAGTTCCCATGGTTCACTCTTCACCCTCACCACTAATAACAGGTGCAACCCACCGTTTGTGCCATGCTCATTCTCAAAACACCTATGTTCGGACTGTTGATCTCCCCCTGCCGAAGCAAGCCTCATTTCTGCCCATGGTACATGGAGGTCTGTCCAAACAAATAAGTTCAAATAAGTAAAACATGGTAAAGCATCAATACCAAGCGTCCTCCAAGCTCGGCCTGCAGCTTCAGGTGACAAGCCACAGGCGGCCCGCAAAGTTTCCGCTTCAAGTGGACACGGGGCCAACTGCGATAGCACGGGCAGATGATGCGACCACTGCAGCTCCATAAGACCTTTCCCGCCAGCGATCTCCTTCAGCAGAGTGCCTCGGTCAAGAAGGCTGGAAACCCCGAACTGTTGGTGGGCAAACCCATCCATCAACTGAGATGAACCCCTGTAAAATCATGGAGTTCTCCACTCAAATTTCTGAGGACGCTCAACTTCAAACATCCACCAGTCTAGAGCAGTGATTCTCCCGCAGAGCAGGAACCAAAAAATTAATGATGATTTCTCCTGCGCATGTGGTCAGTCCCAATATGTTCCCGTCTGAAAAAGATGCCAACGAAAGACTCATCAACCGAAGCTTGTTTACAATTTCGTGTTGTGCAGCCTTCGTTGTTTCTCAAGTGAGTTTGCAAACACATCCAAGGCACTTTTTCCAGTCCCAGAAGGCCCCAGGACTGCCCCCAGCTTCCATGGTGGCAAGCGATCTACTTGGAGGCGCCAAACCTCAGCTCGATGGATCGTCATTAAGAGATGGCAGTCGAATTTTGGACACAAAGATCTAGATGATTCAAAACTTGAGAGGCTCAAGGACAGACGGATCTGGGCGATTCTACCACATATACATTCTGTGTCAGGGTCAGCCACTTTGCAACTGCTCCAAGATTTGAGTGAAACACACCATGATTTATCAGCTACAACATGGGGCTTGTAAAATCATATCAATCTTAGGCGTAGAAAAATGATCCCCATACACATGAACACCTAGGCAAAGCATGGCAAAACCCAGATTTGTTTGACACCCACTGCTGTAATAACATTGGTGCCACTGATCTTGAAACTTGCCCATGGTTGCTAACCTCATCATGGCAAACAAACAATCCAAAGCTTTCAGCAATCTCTATGTCTTTGGGCATCTTTGGTTTGAAAATATGTTGGCGCATGGGCCACTCCCTGTCAAACTCGGGTCTCCATGGTAATCGTTCCAGGGAGAACAAAACGTTTCATGGAACATTGAACCCTCCACCAAGACATATGCTTTGAACCCACATGTCGAGTAGCATGCAGAGGACCCCCCAGCTTTACTTGTACATCTGATTTCATTAAAAAAAAACAATGATGTCTAGAAATTCGAAAAGCGAACTTTGAACTAATTCAAGGAAATCAGCAAACAGCTTAAATCCATACCCCAAACCCCACTGCTCACTGTTGCTATGATGCGACAGCCAGATCGCCATGATCCGTCGATGCTGCCAGGTCACTCGGCTAGTGCCTTAGCTGCTCCGACAAGCCATGGGAGTGGAAGTTGAGGCAGCTCCAAATCAAACACATGTGTCATATGATACAAATTCATGCCCTATCTCTGCCAACATCACAAGAAATCACAAGAAATCAGGCCTTCCCGAGCCATGCACAACCCTTCCAAAAGTCGCCCATATTCGCAAGAAAGATCCAACAAGCCTAGTGCTCCCCATGCCATGCCGCTGGTGCCATTGAAGTCGAAGTCAAAGGCATTCAGTGCTTCGGTCAAAGCCTCGTCCAGCAGCACTGAGCACTGCAGCTCCCTGGGTCGAGTCACGCCGAGCTCATATGAGGAACTTGCAGCTGGCCTCGGCATGCATCAAAGATGAGAAAATATAGGACAAAATACACAACCGGCTAAAAAACCTTGTAAAGCATCAGTAACCATTCATATGATACATATGTGACATATCAATACATATCATATGTGCCTGTTCAGATTTTTACCCCGTACCCGGACCTGCAATGCCACAAGTTGTTGGCACCCACTTGCTCAATGTCAAGAAAGCCAGGATCCAAATTGATCCAAAAATACCACTTATAGGGGCTCAGGTGAACGATGTGTGCGGTTCAACGATGTCAAGGCAACACAATGGGCACAATCCCAGGGCAAGTTGCCTTGATGTAATCTTGTGCCCCAAAAAGAGATGGCAAACATGCTGTTGGAATCAGACTTTGCAAGACTGAAATGAAAACTAGCATCAGAAGGGAAGATAAACATAGATAAACTACCAAATTCCATTGTCAGGCTGTGCTTATTGATTTGGTTGTGACATACGGCATCCAACTCCTCCAAGGCCAAAATTTCTCACCAAGGCTAAGGCCAGGTACTGTCGGTCGAAACGGATTTTCTGATGAACTTGGTCCAGCTCGCCTTCCCAGCCCTTATCAGTGCCACCAGTGCCACCCTTGAAGCCGGTGACTCGGCAATCCCACTGGATCTCCATCTTTCGCGGCGAGACCGAGTTTACCCTGACCTCACCAGTCGTGAAGACAACGAAGTCACATTGCATGTACTTCGCGACACCTGCAGTTGGGGACGTCAAACAGCAGAAAGTCTCTTGTGATAGCCACTCAATGTGATTCAGAACTGGATCAAGAAAAAGTAAGTTCGAAAATGTTCGAAATGCCGGCCATCTTGGTTGGGAAACTAATGAGTTGAGGGATGCCTAGTTGACATCGTTTAGGGGCCGCTTGCAGCAGATTCGTGGCCATGGATCATGTTGACCTGATAGCATGCCCGGCAAGGACCTTGCCAAACACCAAAGGATTGTTCCAGGAATAGAAGACTACACCAGGAAAAAAAACGCTGAAAGATACTGGTTGGTGGTTGAGCCACCCCTCTGAAGAATATTAGTCAATGGGAAGGATTATCCCATTATTGAAAATCAAAAATGTTTGAAACCACCACCCAGGATATGTTGTCTCAGTGAAAATCGATAGGTTGGAGCAACAAGGTCGGGGCAACCCACTTTTGGGGGCCATAACCCGGGCACGGCATCTAGCCTCTCACACAGCAACAGATGCCAGAAGTACCAAATGATTAAACTTCAATCGACACATTGCATGTCCAAACAAAATTAGACGTGCCCAAATTTTGTAGGCCTTCACCAATCCTCCAGCTTTTTTTGTTCCCATGCTCTGAAAAATAGAATACTATCGGATGACAAAACTATGAAGCCATGAGGGTGACCGGCTGACCTAAGATTTCTTTTACACCGCATTTCGACGTATTTCGACCAGATCTTCCAAGTTGCAAGGCTTGGTGGTGGAGATCAAGATGCGATGGCATCCACGGTTCCTCGCCAGCTTGGCGAAGGCGTAACTCATAGACTGGGCAGTGCTTTCGTCATTGAAAGCCGCAAAATCCTGTCAGTGGCCCGGTGGCCAGGACGCCCAAACTTGGGGCAGAGGCCATCATATTTGTCAGTTGAACATATCTGACTCTACCAGAAAGGTAAACCATCTATTTTTCGTGATTACAAACGTTGACACCTGGCCAACTTTGCATTGTACATGGTATAGTCATACCCTGTTGGAACTCCCTATAAAAACCGTTAAACGATCAGATTTGATAGGCTGCATTGTATTGTCTAGCCGCCTACGATAACTTTTTTTTCCACCCAGTTGGCCCAGTTGACCCTGCCCCAGCCCCAGTTGACGCTCAACGCCATTTGGTTGACTGGTTCAACTGGTTCATTGGCTCAGCTGGCTCAATTGGTGCGGGTTGACACGAAAGAACACGCTGAAACGAAAAATTGAAAGATCTGAAAGGCTAAACTAAAAAGGGTTCAGCGTGCCAACAAAAAGGTCGGATTGAACCCGTCAGGTGCCAATTGATAAAAGGTAAACCCGGTTGACCCAGTCGCGTGTCGCGTGTTGACACGAACGAACTTTCAGAAACGCCCATGGTGGCCCCAGTCGCATCCTTAGGGCCACCATGGCAATCAGAAAACCACCATGTTTTCAGTTAGAAATCAGTCCCAATATATCCATTTGATTCGGTTGACCCGCTTCGCCCAGTCGAACTAATCAGGCCAACTGGGCCAACTGGCAAGCTTTTCAACTGGTTCAACGGGCTTGCAACATGACTGGATGGTCTAATCCCATCCACACCTCACAGTTTCTCTAATTTCTGCTGCTTATGTGTCTGACTGTCCGTAGACACTGTCAGTGAAACAAGCAGTCCAGGCAAACTGGTCGAAGGCTGAAGTAATGAGCTCAAACATTTTGGACCCAGAACAGTGTCTCAGCTGTTAGATGTATGGCATAGCAAAACCGGCAAAACCCCTCCACCACAAGCGAAAAAGGTGTCCTCAAAGATCGTCTCGGACTCCAATCTCAAGGCCGCAAGGGCCCTGGCTTGCTCGCCATTGGACAAGGTGTGGAATGGCCTACACCATGCTGGGATCCGATTTAGCCCCGCGGAAGATAGCCTCAAGCTGGGATTGGAAGTCAGCCGTGAAGGAAGATCCCGCCATTTGGTTTCGAAAAGCTATGTTTCACCATGTTTCACACATCATTTCACACATCATTTCGCATAGCAAAGCACTTCATTTTCAGCACAACGGACTTCCGTTTCAGCGTCGGTGCCGAGAAACCTGTCAATGGCCTCGCCTCTGAAGAGCGGATGGGACGCAATGGCTTGATCTTCACGCCATTGCACCGTGCTTTGCTCCAGAGGAATCGAATAAAATGCCGCAAGGTCTTTCCTCGGCACAGCACAGTGGTGGAAACCACTGAGTTGGGATAAGACACATAAAGTTCACGTTGAACATCATTGAACCATAGAGAAGATGGTCTTATGAAAACCAGATGGTTTGTTTCAGCCTTTTTGTCAAGACACTGAAATCTGGAGTTGGGAGAATTCGCCCTGAGTTTTGACTAAGCCCTAGCAAGTTTTGGTTGAAAACCATTCCAATTGTGAAATTTGTTGAGGCAACTTCCCATGCTTCACAACAAGCAACTCTTATGACTCTTATGGAAAAAAACGACATGTTTCAAACATCAATTCCATATGTGTCCATATGTTGCCGAGATTTCTCACCAACTTACCATGTTGACCACCGGTAGCAGATAACCATGTTCGATGAACACAGGCCGCCAGTGCCAGGATGTGCCAAGATGTGCCAAGGGGCACTAGAGTTGTTCTCCCCGAGATCGAAGGTCCCAGCACAACGCCGATGACAAAGTCCTTGGGCAATTTCGAGAGATCCAAGCGACGCGGACGCGACAAGCCCGACAAGCCCGACATCGCATCTTGATGCCTACAATTTCTCCAAAAAACTAGGTCATCTGGAGTCATCTGTAATCGGATCTGGGATCTGATGGATCTGGGATCCAAAATGTTGATGATACAATAGGCCAATAGGCTGCATCCATTAAAAAGATCTTCAGATGCCCTAGACGACTTGATTTATCCAGTGGATTGGTCAACTGAGGCAGCAGATAGCCAGCACTCCACGATTCTTACTGCGACGTGTGACGTGTTTTGTGATGAAATGTGACAACATTTGTTCCCTGAAGATCCCTGAAGCCTATCGGCTGCAGAATGTGAAGTAACTTCAACCATCACCACACGCGAACTCGAAACTCGAAAAACAGGTCTCAACAGGATGAACAGTCAGCGGTGGAAACTGTCAGAAAAACCTTGACAAACCAGTTTTTTCTGGTCAAACAAACCCCTGGCATTAAGGGCGCGGCGTAAGAATCGATCACTTTGGCCTCCGGCATTCGGATGATGTGAACTCAAGACATCAGCAAAAGTTGCACAATCCAGACAGCCCCAAGATGGGGACCAAATGAGCCTTGTCATTTTCTCGACTTCGTCGTCTTTGACACTTGCAGCTCAAACTCTGTGACCTGGAGTGTCGGCGAAAGATCAATGTGACCCTAGCGATCTTTGAGACTTCATTCAAAAATATATTCAAATCATGTCACGTCACTCTTCCTGCCAGTGTTAAATGTGTCTCCCAGATTGCTGGAAACAAAACCTGCCATGACACAACCTTCAACTTTTAGTTTGTGGCCTGGTACATGTGCAAATTACGCCAAGCACGAGTGAAACCAAAAGTGGTCGAAAAGTATGACAAAAACATCCCGGCGGACCGGAAACCGTGCTCGTAAAAGCACGTTTTTGTTTTAAAAAATAATATGGCACTGTGGTGAAACGCAATTTTTTTTCATCAAAAACATCAAAAAAATTGCTTCCAAAATTTGGGTGTTTTCGCATTTTACCACAATAACAGCTCATGTTCATCGGAGGGTTTTTGTGCATTCTAAAAAAACAAAAAAAAACGTCAGAAGATGCCAATTTCTGTAAGGTGGCATTGAGGTTTATATACCTCCATTGTAAACAGACCGAAACCGTGCTCTTAACAACTACAGTAGTTGGAAGGTTGGAAGAGCTTACAGAGTAAGTCAAGTAGCATCGAAAACCTAGTTGTTAATGGATGATTTGCAATTTGAAAAAGAAGATGACAACGTAGTTGCAAGTTGTGTTACAAAAAAAACGCCACGCAGTTGCAATTAAAAAACAACAACAACAACAACAACAACAACAACGTAGTTGCAAACTGTGTTACAAAAGCAAACCGCGCAGTTGCAATTTGAAGAAGAAGATAGCAACGTACTTGCAAGTAATGTTATAAAGGACAACAACGTATTTGCATTTCAAAAAAGAAGGTAACAACCTAGTTGCAAGTTGCGTTGCAAAAGCCAACAACGTAGTTGCATTTTGAAAAAAATGAACACCCTAGTGGCCCTAGTGGCAAGTTGTGTTACAAACGCCAACAACGTATTTGCAGTTTCAAAAAGAAGATAACAACCTAGATGCAAGTAGTGTTACAAAAGCCAACAACGTAGTTGCATTTTGAAAAAGAAGATAACAACCTCGTTGCAAGTTGTGTTACAAAAGCCAACAACGCATTTGCAGTTTGAAAAAGAAGACCTGAGAAGGGGTGGAACGAAAGCCAGCGCTTGCTTTTTGACTCGCGCGGGGGCGCGTGAAACTCCACCTCATCCATATGGCATGGCTCAAACATGAAGCGCCCCAACATCAACAATTGCTATCGGGTCATAATTTTCCAATCATTAAATGGACCTTTTTAAGGTAAACTCCACGATTTTGTAACTTCTATATCCAAATATGTTTCCTACAATGTACTGCGGCATTGTGAAAAGTTCTATCTCAAGTTCCGTAAATCCGCCTTTGGTTGCTCATTTATCTTAAAACAGCGCAAGTTTGCTCCCACCTATTGTAGATAGATAATACCCGCTTTTTTGTGTGAACAGTGGTCATGTGACCTCTCAAAGTCTAAATTGTTTTCTCCCCAGCGTGGTCCATGCTTCTCCGCGAAGTTCCGCAACATTTTGGCCGTACGGTGAGAAATCAAAACATAGCTCTACTCGCAAAATGGGCAGTGCAAACCCAAGACAATATTATAACATACGTAAGAAAGGGTATAAGAACGAATGAAAAGCGAGGAAAACAATGCAAAACCCACGGGAAATATAGAACAGTGGCGAACATGCAGTCCAAATCAAAAGTATATATATTTAGGCCATTTACAGACCTGGGTACCCCCCCCCACCCCCCATGGGTCTGGAAAATAGGTATTTTACAGGAAATGTCGCGGAATAGCATCATCCCTGACATCGATAGAGATAATTGTTTGGCATCCCGGAAAATCTTCTCAGCTATCACACTCGCCAGACATCCCTTTTAAAAGGCACACATACTATCACGGACGTACAGATGCATATCATTCCCGTCATTGCCATTAGAAGATTCAAATTCTTTCTCGATGTTTTAGTACAAGGTTCACTTTTAGTTCTGTTTCAGCCTTCTCAGTACGGCCTCTTACAATGATATTACAGCATTTGTCTCCCAACCTAGGTGGCTCCTGGGCGCAATCTTCATTCCAATGCTTTGTGACAATGACCAGAGGCCTGGAGCCTATGCATCACTGGACAGTCGACTCAGTTCTAAACCGGAAAGACTATTCCTTCCGTTTACCAGTAGATCGTTTTTGTAGTTCTTATCACAAAACTACCAGAATCAGGGAGGCACCAAAAAACGTCAAACAGCTTTAAGCATTATAAATACTCTACTCTGCAGATTGTATTTATTTTTCTTACTCTGTGAACGAAATCACACTTTTCTAACTTCACACAGAGTACCATGAAACCAATTTTCCCATGCAACTCCTAAAATCTTACAACTCATACATCTTTTTTCCTATACCATCCGCATCTTAGGTTTTCACTGTATTTTTCTAACATGTTACATGCCTCCTAGCATGTTCACGCGTGTCCTCCATGTTGTACTGTTTTCTACATCGTTTCCTCTAGTTGTTACAAACATTTCCTAGCTTGTACACCGTTTTCCTAATATTGTCACAACTTTTCTTCCAGTTTCCACTGCTTTTTCTACCGTTTCCTGTGGTTACTTTCTTCTCTTTTGTAGGTTTTCACTGTGTTTTGTCAACCTTTTTTTATTACATGCTTCCTGCCATTTTCACCGCTTTCCTCTATGGCTTTTTGTACCATTTCCTCTCGTTTCCTGCATTTCATGCATTTTCAATATATTTTTCCAAAAGTTTTACCCGTCTCCTTCAGTTTCCGATCGTTTTTGCACCACTTCCTCTGGTTGTTTCGCATTTTCCTGCACATTCACTGTATTTTTCCAGCATGTTTACTGCATCGTCATAGTTTGTTCCTAGCAGTCGCTCCGGTTTCCTCCATGTTTCAACAGATTTTGCACCCTTTATTCTGGTTGTTATCACATTTTCCTGCCAGGTTGTTATCACATTTTCCTTCACTGTATCTTTCCAGCATTTTCCAGTGGATTTTGCACGATTTCCTCTGATTGTTATCATGTTTTCCTGCAGTTTCTATATCCTCTTCGTGGGTCTTCAGTCTATTCATGCATTTTTAATCTATGTTTCCAAGATTTTTACCCGTCTCCTTTTTGCACCATTTCCTCTGGTTTGCTGCATTTTCAATGTATTTTTACAAGAGTTATACCCGTCTCCTTCATTTTCCGATCGTTTTTGCACCATTTCCTCTGGTTGTTATCGCATTTTCCTGCACTTTCACTGTCTTTTTCCAACATGTTTACTGCATCGTCATAGTTTGTTCCTAGCAGTCACTCCGGTTTCCTCCATGTTCCAACAGATTTTGCATGGTTTGTTCCTAGCATTTTCCTCTGATCGTTATCATGTTCTCCTCAAGTTTCATTGTATTTTCCAATACATCCTCTTCGTGGGTTTTCAATGTGTTTTGTCCAGCATTTTTTTCTATATGTTTCCTATCATTTTCACCTCTTTCCTCCATAGGTTTTTGCACCATTTCCTCTGGTTTCCTGCATTTTCATACCTTTTCAATATTAATATTAATCCAAGAGTTTTACCTGTCTCCTTCATTTTCCGATCCTTTTTACACCATTTCCTCTCGTTGTTATCACATTTTCCTGCACTTTCACTATATTTTTCCAGCATGTTTACTGTATCGTCATGGTTTGCGCCTAGCATTCGCTCCGGTTTCCTCCATTTTCCAAGGGATTTTCCATGGTTTGTTCCTAGCATTCGCTCCGTTTTCGTCCGTTTTCCAGGGGAATTTGTACGATTTCCTCTGATCGTTATCATGTTTTCCTGCAGTTTCATTGTATTGTCCAATACATCCTCATGGTCTCTCCGGTCACCAAAAAGGCGGACCTAGGGGGCATCGATACCCCACCGTCAGCAAATTGCCTAGTGGTACATAATCCAGCAAAATGCTCCGTTTTCTCGCGCTCAACACAGGGGCACGGCGAGATTTCGTTCCCTTTCGGCAACCACCCCCCCCACACCCCCTATTCTCACTTCGTTCGCAAACAGCAACTAGCCAGCTAGCTGGCTTTCACAACGCATTTGCAGTTTGAAAAAGAAGATAACAACCTACTTGCAAGTTGTGTTATAAAAGCCAACAACGTAGTTGCAGTTTGAAAAAGAAGATGACAACGTAGTTGCAAGTGCGTTACAAAAGCCAACTACGCAGTTGCAATTTGAAAAAGAAGATAACAACGTAGTTGCAAGTTGTGTTACAAAAGACAACAACGTATTTGCAGCTTCAAAAAAAAGATGAGAACGTAGTTGCAAGTTGTGTTACAAAAGCCAACAACGCATTTGCAGTTTGAAAAAGAAGATAGCAACCTACTTGCAAGTTGTGTCAGTAACGTACTTGGAAGTTCTTCGTAGACAAGACGCTAATAGC